ATGTTTGGCTGTGCTATCACTTAGGGGTCTAGCTATGCTTTACATGTTCCATACTTCCAGGCTGTAGACCCACATGCTAAACATCCTGGGCTCTGAGGTCAGAAATCACAGATAAAATACTCATGAGTATTAGGTATTTGGGTCACCACCTTGTTCTACCTGGTCAGCTCAGGAAATACTACAGTCATTACTTTGCAGTGACTTTGTTGTCATCTAGCAACTTTTTGTATCTTAAGGGTTACCACAAGGATCCCCAAACTTTTAGAACTCAAACTCCTCAAGATTCTCAAAAACAAGGGATATTAAAGCATAAAAGTTCCATGGCCCATACTGATGTCCTGTGGCAGCAGTGGGGGAAAGACTTAGGTGTTAGTCTCTAGGTAGTCTTTCTTTTTGGCACTATCAAAGTGCAAGGTAAAAATGCTTCAACTGTGTAGTAATAATGCATTCCTATAATTTACTTTTTTAAAAGATACATGAGATTTTGGTAAGGGAATTGTTGATAATTTCAGGGAACAGTTTAGTGGTTTGGTGCTATATTTCTGACATAGGGTTCTATCCTAGTGACAGAAATGGTATTCAGTTCTGATAGTGATTATCAGAATAGTCATTTTTGACAGGTGATTTCACGGGGAAGAAATTGTTTTGGAAGAAACAAGTCAATTTTGTTCAATCACCAGAGCCCCATGCAGTTTCTAAAATTAGTAAGCAACGTTTCAGAAGATGAATCCTGGATTGTTTATTTTCTGAGCATTATCATGCATACTTGTTACCTGAATCAAAACCATGGTTTTTCCATGTACTCTTCATGCATTGATTACTTTAGTTATAATCCAATTTTCTTTAAAATCAGGTTATTTATGCCAAAGACTGAAGTTAATTTTTTTTCCATTAGCTATCATGTCTACCACATTAACAGATACCAGAACAACCAAAATGCAGAAGGTGATGTTCCCTGATATTTTGCCTCATACAGCAAATACAAAATGATACACCCCAAGGAAACTTGGGCCAGCTCAAACACATCCTTGGGGCTGGGTGCAGAACTTCTATCACTGTGTGGCAAAGTTGAACCAAGCTTCTTTATTAGGACTTGGATTTGCAGAAGCCAGAGCAGATGCCACCTTGAAATCCCTATTCTCTTTTCTATGTGAAAAACAGTATTAGTGTGAAGGAAACCTCCAATAGACAATAAGTTCCTAACAAAACATCAGCAAGCATGTTGGGTAGAATAGCAATATTAAAACAGACTCAACAAATAAGACATTTTCTCCACCATTAAAAATAGGGATTCAGAACAACATGGAAAGAACATAAAAGATATTTATTCCAAAAAGAATAAAATAGCAATTGGAAAATAAGCACAAGATGTTATGAAAATCTGTCAAACAGAAATTCTGAAAAAGAAAACATTATTTATATGAACAAAAACTTCAGTATATTAAATGAATCTTAGCTTTGGAATTAGCAAATATCAGAACATTAAAATTAAAGAAAAAATTGAAAAGAGAAAAAGAGGTAAAAGATAAAATATACTGAGAAGTAGCCTGACATTAAAATTTTCATCAACAGTGTTGAATACTAAAATAATGGAAAGAAAATGAGTTTAATTTTTAAGTTTATAATGGACCAAAATAGTGGGTAAGCATATATGCATTTGACATAAAATAATTACAAATTTTGACTAGTAGATTTGTGGCATAAAAAAAATCCACTCCAAGAAGCAAAGATACTAACAGAATCAAGTAGTGGGATGTACAGGAAAACTGTCATGTTTTTTAAAAAGCTTTCATATGCAAGGAAATACCATTTAAGGATAAATAAAGATTTATGAAAATTAGAATGAGTTACTTCACTAGACTAATTGGTATTTATTGATATGTAAATGATATTTGAGCATAGCTTAGTCTTATGACAACCCCACATAAAAATTAATTTCATCCCTTTGCTTTTCAACATTAAAAATTAGATGGTGACTATCAAGGATATAATGAAATTATTTCTGAATTGACATGTTTGCAGAGAAACAAGATGGTGAGTGTATACTATCTAGAATTATATTTCACAAATAAATGAATGGCTACTTTGAAAGCCTTTTGAGCCTTTGGTATCTTGAAAATTTCATTTAATTTTAATACAATAAAGACTAACCAAAGTTCAGTAGAAACCAGGAAATACAGATTTCAGAAAGTTAATCTGAGAAACAGAAAGCTCTTTTATTTAATTTCTTCTTTGTCCCTAAAATCAGAGATATGGACAAGTCAAATTTGAACCAAATTTAAGATTAACACATTATTTATAGTTCCCTGGGTTTTTGGAAGCCTCAATAAGCAAGGAGAGAGCATTAAATAATAAATTGACTTTTTAGTGTAATCATTCTCATAATATTTAAGGGAATTATGCATTCCTTTCTGAATACAGATATTTCTTTCAAAATCCAATGTGTAGATAAGTTTCAAATAAGTAAGTCCTTAAGTACTTATGATATTACATGATTTCCAAAATGTTTTGAAATTATTTATTAAATAAATTGAGCATCTACTATGTATGAGGCATTGTGCTATGAGCTATAAATTCAACTATGAATGAAAAAAGAAAGATTATTTTTGAATTAAAAGTCTACTAAGTTCATTTGGTGAATTCTGAAGGAAGAGGACTCAAATTTTTATTTAATTTCTCTTTGGAAAGTTGAAGTATCAATTGGTAATTAATTGGCAGTAATGGATTTATCAACATTTTCAGAAGAAAATTCCTATAAAATTATTGGTACACTAAGTCATCCCTTTTCCCTTGGAACAGATTTTCAGTTTGTGAAATTCCAAAAAGTGTAATTCCAAAAACAGTAATATGCATGCGGTAGCCCCTCTCTGCCCTGAATTTAATAAATACCCAGATAAAGAAAATTTTGGAAATTCTTCAAATAAAAGAATAAATGGTCCCTGACTACCCACAAACCAAAAAAGCATTTTAAACCAAAAGTAAGATGTTATTACTTCTGATATTCAATTTTAGTCCAGATTATGTGTTAAATTTTGTTCACTTTATCAACAGTGTATAGATCAATCCATCTATGTGTTAAGTCACTGGTAGTATTTGTTCTACTGTCTTCAATGTTTAAGTAGCTTCTCAGCACATATGGTCCTTCCAAATTTAGTTTCAGCTCATATACCATATTGGCTTCCCAAAAGAACTATAACTGCTACTATTAAATACTCCCACAGCTCTGATACTATTAAAGACTCAGGATGCCAAATATAAATACACGTTGTTAAATATATCTTTTCCCTTATCTTCATAAAATTTCACCTAAGCATCAAAAGAAGAAATCTGATCAAAAGATCCAGATTTAAAGATCTCTATAAGAAACTTAGAATGAAAGAAATACTATTTTCTCTGCTTATTAAGGTTATTCGTGCATTTGATGCTATTACATAAAATGACACCTTCACCTTGTTTTTCTTTTATACTTTTTGTTTCCTTTATTTCTGGTTCTGGGGATTGAACCCAAAGCCTCCTGCATACTAAGTACTAAGAACATGTTCTACCACTAAGCTATATCTCCAGCTCAACACAATTTAAATGTGATTATTACTACATTTAATATGTGATTGGAGTTATGTCAATCTTAAACTCTTTTTAAGGGAAGTTTTCAAAACCTTTGGAATTTAAGTTCTGTTTCTTATACTCATGAATATTCAGCTGCCAGAAAGTTTTCTCTCTGAGTCAGGAAATATCTGAAAAGAAAATGTAATTTTTCCTGAAAAATTTCTCTATTAAGGAAAAAAATATTTTTCTCATTGAAAATAAAATTTTGTTTCACTCAAAATAGCCATACAATTTGATATTTTGGTTGCTTCCAGATTTTATTCTTAGTTTTAGCCAATTTAGACTTTTACAATGAGAAAAAGAGAACTCTATTCTCTTGAGAATTTCCTATTGTGATCTTTTAATTACAATGTAGGAGGTGGAATACTGATGTGGGTGGCAGATATTTATCCCAGGAAGACCATAAATAATGCTAAATCATGTCAGATTGCAATCTAAAGAAGGGAATCAAGACAGGAAGCAAAATATTTCCCTTCTAAATCACTAGATATATGGTAAGTAGGTAATAATAAAGTACAATTTGATAGGACAGTGCTTTTACTGTAAAACATTTAAAGATCATATATCTGTGTAAATTCTTAAAAAAAAAAAAAGGCCCTCAGGTGTTTACGCTTAGATACCAGAATTTACAAACCAAACTGCCATCCCACCAGATGCCTTCCTATATAAAATTTCATTAAAAATGGAAAGAATAATCAGTTGTTTAAAATGGCTTATGTTTAATTTTTCCCTCAGTCAAAATGATTACACTTTAAGCAACCCTAAAAAGTACCTACCTAAGAGTACTTTGCTGCATTTGTCTATAATGTTTGTCCACTTGAGTGATAACAATGTATACAATATTGAAATATTGACTGAAAGTGTCAATATAGAAAACAAATGTATTACTTTCATTTGACTATTATACCTCTAAAAAGATGGTACATTACTATATCTTTTGTTCTATTAACCCTCAAGCTTCATTAACCATGGATCAAACAGCTTTCAGAATTTAAAAAACAGCATATGAATGAATATTCAACAGGAAAAATTACTGAATTTGTGATTTGAAACTGTCCACACTGCTTTGAAATATATAATTTGAAATGTTATTAAGTAAACCTATTTGAAATTGCCATTAAAAGACAATGAATTTATTTTTACTCCACTATGAGAAAAAGAAAAACAAGCATTAAGACTGCATTGATAAGTCATGAAGCAGATGAAAAAAGAAAAATATGAATGGATTAACATATGCTTACATAGAAAGTAAAATCTATATATAAACAAAATGTTGTATCAACTAAGCCTTCTTGATTTTAAAAGGAAACATGCATAGCCACACAACTACATTTTGATTATTCTCTTAATGAAATCTAAACCATTCCTTCAATTGCAAATTTAAAACAGAGCTGCTAAGGGTCTTGAATCACACTAGTGGGGATAATTGGACTCAGGAAGTCACTAGTCCCTGAGCCTCCCATCAGACACACTTCATATTGGTAGCTCTGAGACAGGGTACCCGTGCCACTAACATCCACCAGGTGACCCGGAAAGTGGCCCTCAGGAATAGAACAGACACCCAGCGGCACCGCCCTGCGCCTCCTGCACAGCCTCACCGCCACGAACACCAGCACAGAGAAGAGGAAGAGCGACGACACCGAGGCCAAGGCGATGACCAAGTAGACAGTGAGCAAGTCCTCCTGCGCGCGCTCGGGCGCCACTTCCGGGAGCGGCAGGTAGGGCTGGGAGAAGCCATCCACCAGCAGCACGTGCAGCGTGACGCTGGCAGACAGCGGAGGCTCGCCATTGTCCTTGACCAGCACCACCAGCCTGTGCCTGGCCGCGTCGCGCTCGCTCAGCAGCCTGGCGGTGCGCACCTCGCCATTGTGCGCCCACACGCCAAACAGCCCGGGCTCCGTGGCCTTGAGCAGCTGGTATGACAGCCAGGCGTTCTGGCCCGAGTCTCCATCCACCGCCACCACTTTGGTGACCAGGTAGCCCTGCTCTGCCGCCCTGGGCACCAGCTCGGTGCAGGGCGCAGAGGCATTCTGCAGCGGGTACAGCACGAAGGGCGAGTTGTCGTTGTCGTCCAGCACCACCACGCGCACCAGCGCCTGGCTGCTGAGCGCGGGCGAACCGTGGTCTGTGGCACCCACGTGGAACTCGAACGCCTGCAGGGCCTCGAAGTCCAGCGCCCTCAGCGCAAACAGCTGCCCATTGTCTGCGTTGATAGAGACCAGCGAGGCGAGGGGCAGGTGTGGGTCCTGGGTTGGCAGAAGCGAGTAGGTGATCTGGGCATTGGTGCCTGAGTCTCTGTCTGTGGCGTTGACACTGCCTATGTGCAGAGCAGGCTGGTTGTTCTCGTGCACCAACAGCGTGTATGACATTTGGGAGAAAGCAGGGGCATTGTCATTGACGTCAGAAACGAGGATTATTATGCTGTGCTCAGTTTTCAGCCTGGGTGTCCCCATGTCACTAACAGTGATGGTGACATTATACTCAGGCCTGGTCTCCCTGTCCAGGGCTGTGTTTGTCACCAGAGTGTAAAAGTTCTCTACAGAAGGTTTCAGGAAGAAAGGAAGATCATCTGGGATAGAGCACACTATTCTTCCGTTGTCTCCAGAGTCAGAATCTGAAACACTGAATATGGCAATTATGGTTTCCTGCAAGTTTTCTGGTATTTGATTGATAAGTGTGGACATGGTCAGTTCTGGAGGGTTGTCATTCAAGTCTATCACTTGGATAAGAACCACAGAACTTGCAGAAAGTCCCCCACCATCTGTTGCCTGAATATTTATAGTGTAAGTCTGAACTGATTCAAAATCCAGCTTTTGTGTTAAAAGGAGTTCTCCCGATTTTGCATTTATTTGAAAGGTTTTGCGAATATCTTCAGAGGCTTGGAAAAATGCATAAGATATTTGTCCATAAACTCCAATATCTAAATCCCTGGCAGAGACAGTAGCAACGTGGTATCCAATGGGGCTGTTTTCTGGAACCTGCACCTCATAGAGTACTTTTGTAAACTCAGGGGCATTGTCATTGATGTCCAAGATTTCAATGCGGACCAGGGCAGTACCAGACCTTGGTGGAGTACCGCCATCCAGCGCTGTAAGAGTTAACCTGAGCTCAGGCTGTTCCTCTCGATCCAGTGCTTTGTCCAACACCAGCTGTGGTAATATGCCATCAGCACTGTCTTGTATTGTAAGATGAAAGTAGAAATTGGGGCTGATTGTGTAATTTTGGAGACTATTGCTTCCTACATCTAAGTCCTGGGCACGTTCTATTAGGAAAGTGGTTCCGGGTGTGGTACTTTCTGAAATTTTCAAAAATATTTCTTTGTCTAGGAAGACTGGAAAATGATCATTTATGTCCCTAATCTGTAGCTCAGCCTGAAAAAACTGCAAGGGATTTTCCAATAACACCTGGAAAGGCAATACACAGGGCTCTGTAGAACCACATAACTCCTCTCGGTCCAGCTTCTCATTTAAAAATAAATCCCCTGTCTGCCTATCAAACTGTAAACTCAGTTTTTTCCCTTTGGACACAATCTGGGGACCCCGCACAATCAGTTCATCTACTTCCAGCCCCAAGTCTTTTAATAAATTGGCCACAAAAAAGCCACTCTCCATTTCCTCAGCCACCGAATAGCGCCTACTCTCAAAACCAGCCAGAGCCATGCCCAGCAAGACAAAGAATATCAGGACTTGCCTTTGTTCCAGAAGGAGTTCCTTTCTGTCTCTGGTTTCCATTGCTTTCTGGTCTCTCAGCAAACCGTAGTCGCTGACTCTTCTCTCACAAATATCTTGTTAATATTAAGATAAGTGAACAATCCTAGGGCCTCGATTTCCCGGAACCACCGCCTTAGAAAGCCTCCTCCTCCAGCTTGCTTCTTTATCTGAATATCTGGCTAAACCCGCCGTCAACCGGTTGGCTTTTGTTCCTTCTACTTCTAAGGCTACGGCGCCACCCCGCGTTCTTTCCGAGCATTTTCTCCAAAACTAAGCAAATCAAAATTCTTTCATCCAGATTGATGATTAAAATTGAGTATTTTTGATTAGTGTCTTCCAATTTACCAAAGTCTTAGTCACATTTTGAAAGGCTTTCATTGCATCTAAAATTACGTGGAAAGCATTGACATATTACTTTAGTTTCCTTGGAGATCTATGTGGCTATGGAAAAAAGATCAACTTTAGAAACAGTGACCTCAGTCCTAGGATGCAGTAGAAAGAAGACTTTGATTAGAAAGTTCCCAGTTTTTATAAGAATTTGTGTATCCACACATCTGGATGATGATTAGGTTACCATCCTCACACTCAAATCCAAATGAAAAATATCAAGATTCAAGAAAAGCACAGAATTCAATGAGAATGTTCTGGTATACAATGAAATATTCTTAATTATATTTCTTGAATAGCTCCCAATTCTCATTTCCTTGAAGTTTGATATGAGTGAGCTACATGAAAGTCTCCAAGAGCAGTCAGTTTTTCTTGTGAATATGATAACATTTTAATTTTTATTTCTAACAGATTAAGAGCATTTTATAACTTTGATTCAGTATTGAATCTAGCAAAATTAATAATTCCATATCAAAAACTCAGCAAAGCTATGTGCAGTGGTGTACACCTGTAATCTCAGTGGCTTGGGAGAATGAGGCAGGAGGATGGCAAGTTCAAAGCCAGCCTCAGCAGTGAGGCCTTAAAAAACACAGTGAGACTCCATCTCTCAATACAATATTAAAAAAAGGCTATGGATGTGGCTCAGTGGTTGAATCACTGTGTTCAATCTCTAGCACACACACATACAAAATGTCTTTAAAGAAATGTTCCAAACAAGGTACATTTCTTAGGTTTTTAAAGTTACCATCTTGTTGTGTTTTAAAATAATATATGGTAAAAAGAATGAGTTATCAAGCCAGACCTCAGACTTGATAACCACAGAGAGACATGAAGGAAACTAAATGCATACTGCTTAAGGAAGCCAATCTGAGGGGCTTGTGGATGTGTCTGAATGGTAGAGCACTTTGGTGAGGACCTGAGTTCAATCCCCAGCACTGCACAAAATACAAAGTTCACCAATCTGAAAAGATTGTGTACTGAATTATTCCAACTACATGAATTTCTAGGAAAAACGAAAATATAGAGAATTAGAAAGATCTCTGGTTGCCAGGGGCAGATGGTTGGAGGAATAAAGAGATAAAATACAAGTGATTTTTAGGGCAATGAAACTTTATTATGCTGTAATGGTAGATATCCTATATCCTGTAATAAAGGATATTACATATTTGTAAAAACTCACAGAATAGTACATCATCAAAAAGTCAACCCTAATATAAATTATTAACTTTAGTTTATAAGGCATCAACATTTGTTCGTACTTAAAATAAATATGTAATACTAAGGCAAGAGTAGTTATGATAGGGAAAACTAAGTGGGAAAGATAAGGTAAATAGGAATGTAATACTATCTGCCCAATTATCTGTAAAACCTAAAATTGCTCTAAAATAGTTTTTATAATAATTTAAATTTTTTACCAAAAAATTTAAAATATAAACAATAAACACAACTCTACCCTCCATCCAAACAAAATAATTATTTATATTTTGTCATATTTGCTGTTCTTCTTTTTTTTCTACATGCAACTTTTTGATGATTAATTTGAAAGTTACTTGTAGATATTATGATTCTTCTAAATATTCAGCAAGTATTTTCTAGGTATAAGGACATTATCCCACAAAATCACAATGCTACTAAAATACCTAAGAAAATTAATAACAATTCTACATGATTTTAAGTCCAGACCCTAAATCTCACTAAATATCCTTCCATTATCCTCTTCCAGTTTTCTTTAACTTTGATAAGAATCACATTCATTGTTGAGTTCCTTTTACAAATGCACTATTTTCTTAGCCACTTGTTGTAAAGAATGTCTCAGAAACTCTTTAAACCAAATTGTATAATTTTATTAGGTGGTAGGTCTATTTACTATAGAATATTCTCCCACCTCTGTGATACTAAATTTTTTGAAGTGTCCAGACTAGTTTTTCTTTTGGGATATCCTATATCCTGAATTTGTTAGTTTCCTCATAGTGTCATTTAAATTGTTCCTCTATGCCTTGTATTTTATAAGACTGAAAGGATGACTTTTTTTGTACTAGGGATTTAACCCACAGGTGCTTTAATCAGTGAGCTACCTCCCCAGCCCTTTTTATATTTTATTTTGAGATACAGTCTTGCTAAGTTGCTTATGGCCTCAGTATATGGATATTTATTAAATGTAACAATGCATAACATTTTAAAAGCTCCCATTTTCTGTAAAATATTGGAAAATAATAGGTTCCTTTTGTTAACATTTAGAAATCAGATACCTACTTCTATCCTGTTGGAATTATTTGTTTATTTTTAATTTATTGGTTATTTTTAGTTATACATGACAGTAGACTATATTTTGATATAATTATATGAGCATGGAATGTATCTTATTCTAGTTAGCACCCTATTCTTCTGGATGTACTTCACTGTGATGTTTTCATATATGTATATAGGAAAATTATGTCAGATTCATTTCATGACTATCATTTTATGATATTATAATAATAATTCAAAACATTTCAATTCATTTACATTGAGCATTAAACACAATTAATCCAGGTGAAAAACATCCAAAAACCCTAGTCTTGAAAGACAACTCTTTATATGGGTTACAAAACTTTAAGGTGGGTTATAATACTTTAATTACTTCATAAAGACAGATGATGACTGCTAGGTCACTCGAAATTTTACCTTTAACCTAGCATATGATTATTATTTGGGGGGAGTTTCTCTGAATTAAATAGTTATAATGATTTTAGGATAACATAAAGGAGAGGAAAATAGATGATGAAGAAAATTACATAATCTAGCACCTTTCACAGCTGAAGGAAACTTAATATCTAAGAGACTTTAAGAAGAGGAAACAATACTCAAGAACAAATTATGTTTTATTGTGCAGAAAGAACTTTTAAACTTTCCATGTTGAGTCATTTTTCTCACAATTCATTAGCTTTCACCTTTCTTTCTGTTTCAATGCTATTAATAAGTCTAGAAATAAAAAGGAAGTTTCCTTTTTTCAGAGATGATAGAATCAATACCAATATTATATATATATATTTTAGTTTTCAGAAGACACAACATCTTTATTTGTATGTGGTGCTGAGGATCGAACCCAGCGCCTTACACATACCAGGTGAGAGCGCTACCGCTTAAGCCACATCCCCAGCCCAATACCAGTATTTTATATTTGTAGATGACTTCTAGCTTTTAATGAATTATTTTCCCAAAACTATTTTAGATAATTATTTTTCTTAAATCTTGATGATATTCCTTTTTGAGTACCTTTTATAAATGCTCTTATTTTCTTAATATCCTTTTAATAAGAAATTGTATAATTAGAATCTATATACTTATAAATCTAAATAAAATACTTATGCAGTTATATGATTTTAAAATTATTGTGAGAGAATCTATTATATAATAAAGAATTACAGTATTATGTTTATTTTGTTTCACTTTACTTTTTATATAATTCTCAGTTAGTGACATTATCCTAGGAGTCACACTTCATAAAATCCCAACATTAAAATATATATACAAAGAATTTTTACCTATGAGAAAAATATTTTAAATCAGAAAATAAAAGCAAGTCACTGTAATCTTACTACAAAACAAAATTATCAGTGAATTAAAAAGTAATTAAGAACACATTGTTTAAAAAAAATTAAAAAAAAAAGAACACATTGTTTGAAGCTGTATCATCTTAGCCTTGCCTCTCTTTTTTGACTTAAGGATGATTTGGTTCTTTTGATTGACACAAGATATAAATTATAAAAACAAAGAGAAAGAAGAGTCAAAGAGATTTATGTGACTGCTTTCCCCTACCAAACATAATATCAAACAATATGGACATATGATCCACATTTCTAGCCCTCTTTCATAGGGAAAAATCTTTGGTTCTGCTCAATGGCTTTCAGCCTACAAGCTGCTTTTATTAACTCAGTTATCAAGTGGTAGAATAAAGAGGTATGTATGAACCTGTGGTGGCACTTACACAATGTGTTTTAGTCTTATTGAGGACATAAGCTTATCTGTTTTTACATAACCTTTTAATGCAAATAGTTCATGAAGATAAAGTGAGCAGGATTTCAAAATAAAGTGATTTAAGCAGAGAATCCAGCAGAGAAAAATTAAGGTGGTATTGTTCTCTTCCCACAGCACATATGTAACTAATTATTTTCAAAGAGACAGCTACACAAGAATCTTGGCATTTTTTGTTTGTTCATTTGAGAATTGCATGGTATTCTTGTACAATCTGTTCTCCTGAAAAATTTTGACAGGGAATTTGCACAAATATTCAAATTCTCTCACTCTCCCTCTCTTCCTTCTCACAATCTCTCCCTTCCCCTCCCTCTTCCTCTCTCCATCCCTTCCTCCATAAATATATTACATAATGTATATGACCTTTTCCATCTTCTCTTTCATGGTTACAATAGGTCAAAAATTTCATCACAATCAATAAATGGGCCAAGGACCTGAAGAGACATTTCTCAGAAGATGATGTACAATCAATCAACAAATACATGAAAAAATGTTCATCATCACTAGCAATGAGAGAAATGCAAATCAAAACCACTGTAAGATTTCATCTTACTCCAGTCAGAATGGCAGCTATTTATGAAGACAAACAACAATAAGTGTTGAAGGTACATTCATACACT